AATTGTAACATTGGTGTCCGCCAAGGAGAAAATTTATCACCTCTCCTGTTTTCTATGTATATTAATGATCTAGAAGAGTTTCTGGCCAGCAAAAATGTACATGGGCTATCTTTTAATAATGTAAGCAGTTCAAACTCTGTAGAAAGTGAAATTTTGATGTATTTTAAATTATTTATTTTGTTCTATGCTGACGATACAGTTATAATGTCTGAGTCTGCAGAGGGTTTACAACATGCTCTAAATGAGTTTCATTCATATTGTGTACAATGGAAACTGACTGTCAATGTAGACAAAACAAAAATTATGATTTTTTCGAAAGGTCCATCTGTTAAGAATGTATTTTATTACAATAATTCTGATATTGAAATTGTGAACGAATTTAAATACCTAGGTATACTGTTTTCTCGATCAGGTTCATTCTGTAAAACTAAAAAACATTTATGTGAGCAAGCTCAAAAAGCCATGTATGGAATTATACGAAAAATTCGACAATTTAATTTACCAGTAGATTGCCAGCTTGATTTGTTCGATAAAGTTGTCACTCCAGTACTTTTGTATGGATGTGAGATATGGGGTTTTGAGAACATTGATATAATTGAACGTGTTCATCTTAAATTTTTGAAACATATTTTTAATCTAAAAAGTAGTACTCCTAGTTATATGGTTTTATGGCGAAACGGGTCGCTTCCCTTTGTATATAACAGTGTATTCGAGAATGATATCCTATTGGGCAAAATTATTGGTAAGCCCTGAAAACAAGATTGTTTATGTTACATATAGACATTTATTTGAACAGTTCAGTACAGGAAGTCATAAGAATCCTTGGATTTTATGTATTAAGAATATACTTGATAGTTGTGGCTTCTCAAACGTGTGGAATGAACAGACCTTTATAAATATTAAATGGCTAAAGGCTATAGTTGATCAACGTCTTAAAGATCAGTACATACAGAAGTGTCAAAGTAATATGCGCGATTCATCTAAAGGTCTCTTTTATAGTATCTTCAAAACAGAATTTGGATTTGAAAAATATTTAGCCTTACTACCAAAAAAATTTAGAACAATATTAATTAAACTAAGAACAACAAATCATCGTCTTCCAGTTGAGACTGGGAGATGGTTTGGGATTCCCAAAAATGATAGACAATGTAATCTTTGTAATAATGGACAAATAGCTGATGAGTATCACTACATTTTAGAATGCAAATATTTTTCCGAATGTAGAAAAAAATATCTTCCCAGTAAATATTGTAATAGACCAATTTTTTTCAAATTATCAGAATTGTTGTCATCTGCTGACTCCAAACTATTGATTAAACTATGCTGTTACATAAATAGAGTATATGAAAAAGTCTGTCCTCCATAGTTATCTTTGTTACTTTATATGAATATTTCCACCATTTCACGTGTATCTTGTATATTATTCTTTGTATATATTGTACATATTGTTGAACCTCATGTACCATTGATATGGTCTGAGTGAATAAATTGAAATTGAAAAATTGAAATTGAACCTTGTCATGATATGGAAAAAACGGGAAAAATCCGTCGTCAATTCAGTGTATAAATAATGGACTAACAATTAGTATGAAAAACGCCAATAAGCATCTGACTCTGTATAAAATTGTATTTGCTGACAAGGCCATTGTATCGACCATAGAACTTAGGAAATTATTACTTTAAACAAGACTGCTGATATTCTTGTTCCATCAACTTGTTTGACAATAATTTACCTCGTTTTAGAAATTATTCATACGTAGAGCATGCTCTTGCGTATCGAATTAACTGAGAAATAATTTACCTCGTTTTAGAAATTATTCATACGTAGAGCATGCTCTTGCGTATCGAATTAACTGAGAGATATAAACTCCGTAGTTGATGAATGCATAATTATTGCGGCATAAGTAAGGGAAGTTGATGATAAAAAAAGTTAAACTCGTCACATTTATCATAGAGCTTGGTTGCAAGATTAACATTAACGTCTTTTTCAAGCAAAATATCCAAGTATGAAACAGATATGCCAGATTCTGTGGTATCTTAAATCTCAAGCTCACCAGGATTTATCCTTTTGACATCAGAACGGAAAATACCATTGTTTATTCACAGTGCGCCGTCGATATATCTTAATGTCGATTTGAAGGACATAACAAGTGTTTTCTTCTTTTCGTGCGCAAGAATTTGCTGAAATTCTATTTCATATGAATACAAAATTAGTTTTGCTAATAATGGAGCGTAATTGATACTATGGCTTGTTGGAAAACCTGGTCTCCAAAAACAACACAGATATTGTCAATCAGAAACTCGAGCATTTTTATGTCAACTTCAGAGTACTTGTGTTTACAATCAGAATGTTTTAACAAAATAATTTTGCAAATGACCAATGACCAGGTAAGTGAATTTACGAGTTCCATTTTAGTGAAAAAAATCAGCTGTCAATGATATCAAAAAGCCTGGACTTTAATTTATCGTGGGTAATGATTGTGTATAAAGTTGAAAGGTCGTAAGTTTTTAAGCTGTTGATTTTGGTAAACCCTTGTGATTTTAAATTGTCCAAAAGTTCCTCGGATTATTTTAGTATTCACATCTAATTTACATCACTTCTTGAATATCATGTCGCACAGTTCTCTTTAAAGTTTCTCCTTCACTGCTGTTAATATCTTAGTGAGGAGAAAAGAAAGAGGTTTTGTTGATCATTTACTTGAACCGCTATGTATCTTTCTTTGTAAGGATTTTATGAAGTGTCGGAATCCAATATATTTATTTGGTAGTTCAAATTCATTTTGGTTCTTTAAGATATTGAAAATATTCAAAACTTACATATGATTTTGAAAAAATGTCTTCCTTTTAAAGGGAACTATGACACCCCTACTAATGTTATTGTGATTTAAATTCAAGACACGTGGTTTAGGTTGATCTATTCAAAGGTTATAGGGTAGAACCGGTTTTATAAATAAAATTGGCAGTAAACATGATATTCTTATAGCCTGTTTCTTTTGAAGACATGTTCTGTAATAAATGTTTCCAGACCTTTTTAAAGACTTTCATGATTTTCAACATAAAAAGGGTTGCTAAAGAAGGGGGTGTTAAAATAACAATATATCTTATACTTTTCGGCGAAAATTAGAGCTCACTAGTGACCGATTCGCTGGTAAAAAGTGTGCATAATCATCTACACTGACAAACCTTTGTTTGCCTTATATGGCTATTGTTATAAAGGCGCACAGAGGATCTTACCACGAGCAACTGACCAATCGTTGAATGAATAGCAACGTTTACATCAAATACATGTTTATATTTTACTTAACACGTATAGTTCAGGCCATTCTACGATCATGTTAATGGACTGCAAAATAAAAAAAAATTTCTTACGAACAAAATACAAAGATAAGAAACTATGAAACATTTTTTCATTTGTTGTTAAATAGAAAAAAATGTTTAATAAAATGTAGTTTGCGTCTAGTTCAGAACACCATGCAGGGCTCCAAGGTTAAGGAAAACGAGCAGCATCTCTGATGCATTTAAATGGACAAAACTTTATTTACGTTCGTGATCACGTGTTCGGCCAAGTGATTCACTTGGCAATTGTATTCACCGATAGTAAAACAAAGGAATTAATACAGACGCAAATCGCTTTTGCAGAATGACTTTCAGAAACCTAGACTTCCGCCGTTTATTTAACAAATGAATTGTTTGTCATTGAGCATGAAAATAATATTTTTAAAAATGCTTTTCATTTACCATAAGGTTTTCCTTTTTTTCAAGCGTAAAATTCCTGTAGTATTCGTAGTAACCCATAATGCAATACTCATTCAGCTGAATGGTCAGTTAAAGTCATGTTGGTGCCTCATTTGCTAATCTGACGCCAAAAAATATAGTCCCGGTTCTAGTCCCGGTTCCCATGCAAAAATATTTGTGCAAAAAGAAATTTTAATTCATGACTGCAGAAAATTTTATTATAGAGAATATACTTATTTAAGTTTGAATGAATGTGAAAAAGATCGATTGATTGAAGTACATTTCTACAGACATTATCAGTTGATTCCAGGGCGGTGAAAACTGAAACGCAACATAACTTTTCTGTTTACCATGCCTCCACGTGCTAGTCACTTCCTAGTCACATTTCCTTGAATAATTTACCCTATCTCGCTGAAGTCTCGCTAACTCTCAGCCAGAGCTATTCTGAACTCATCGGGTTTTATAATTTGCAGAACACCGAAATATAAAAGGTTCGGAACACATTAGTAGGGGTGTATGAGTATAAGTTCGATTACCACTTGTAGAATTAAATGTTGATGAAGCAGGAATATCGGCAGTCTTGTCTGAAGTCATCATTGTGTAAGTTCTATGGTCAATACAGTGACCTTGTTGGCGTGTGCAATTTATCATTAAGTAAAATGCTGACTGGTATTTTTCGTGCTGGTTGTTAGTGCCTTGTTTGTGCACTGAATTGGCGATGGATTTTTCCGTTGTTTCCCGATCGTGAGGGGGTCATGCGGCGGGTGTGACAGGTCGGCAGGGAATACTCGCTTCTCCATGGCACCTGATCCGTTTTGGAAGTCCTGCTCCTATTTTGTATAGTTTTATGGACTTTGATATTGAATACTGTTCGTTATCTCCATATCCTTCATCAAAGTTCTTCTAAAATACAATTTATATCATGAGCTTTACGAACGAAGACCATGTTGTTACCTGATTGACAATTTTTATGACTATGTTGTTATCAAAAAATTGTATTAAAAAATATTTTAAAACATCTAGAGACTATCTAAAACAACTAAACAGGCAACCGTGTACATGCAATGATGATACAAAGATGGAATGGTTTCAATTGTACTATTTAATCATTGAATAATAATTATTTAAAAAAAAAACAACTAAATGCTTTTTAATAAGACGATTTAGTATCCCAAGATGTACAATTTTCTCGTCCTTTGGGATCGGAGAATGTTGTTCTCCTCGGGTAGATACCGGTAAATCATTGCATTGACATCAAAGCTGCGAAAAAATGTTTTTAATGATAGAATGAATATCAATGTACATACATGATTTGCATATTGCAAAATGCTACTTATTGAGATCAAATAAAAAGAAGAAACTGCAAGATGTACAAAGCCTTTAAGGCAAGTTTCTGATGAATGAGGGGGAATAACTTCTCCGTGGAAGATTCATGCCGTTAGAGTGTCATCCATCAAATAACAAAAAAAACTAACGGTGCACCGAGCTGAAGTTAGAACACTGATGAATTATGCAAATCTAGGTAAAACTCACGATCACTTCACAGAACCAGGCAAATGTAATACTTCGTTTGTAATGTTCAAGTAAAGCTCCTAAGCACTGTATTATATATATCGAAGGTACGGCTTTTCACGTTCGTGCTCAACAGACTGATCCATTCCGTAACTGATATGCACTCTAAAAATACTTCAAAAAGACGTCTACTTACTTTAAAGATGTTTTCTTTACATGCACAGTTCGGACGAAATCTCTCTCCCCTATAGATTTACCCCTTGTTCTAGACTTATGTATTACATAAAAAGAATAAAATACCCCTCACAAATTCATGTTATAAAGAAGAGGTTCTGCCCACAAATACGTGCACTGGCAAGCTATGAACGATGATACAGCAGACATACAGCTAAAATATACTGTAGGGACTTTACCAACGTCATATGAAAACTTCAATAACTCCTCACATGAAAAAAAAATGTAGATGCATATGTTTATGAACTAGAGACATTTCTTCAAAACTGAAAATTAGAATGGCCATCACTGCCCAACTTGGAGTGTTCGGTTTATATAAGTGAGTCGCCTCATCCCTGAACGCTGTAGGGCACGTACAGACATGGCGGCTCCGCAGGCTCCTGGTCAATCAGGGTTTTATTGGCGCCAACTGCGTGAGACGGCATATCAAACACTGCAGTGCTATCAAAAAAGTTAAACGGTTTCAAAGTAAAACCGGAAGTGACCTTTGTTGTCATAGGTACATCCTCTGACGTAGGAATATGGAGGAATCCAAGAGCGACCCACGCTACGAGGTCCGTATTCTCTATAGACTCTCCGTTAACCATGTCTTTGACATACTTTCTAGAAGCTTCTGGGTCCTTCGGGTTAGCAGGGTTGTAAATTGGTTTGACGTACTGTTCGTCCTCCTTCCTCTTGGTAACCGTGAGGTGGTGCTCAGTGAACGATATATGTGTGAATTCCGGATGATCGCTCTGTATGTTCTGAGTTCCCGAGTGCATAGGTACCAAGCGATATCCTCTGCTCACTTCCCAGTAATTTTTTGCGTTATTGTTTACGAACGTCCAGAATTTAGGATTTTTGGAATCAATATCCAGGACTTTTTCATTTTTAATGTGCTCCCATTCTACAAACCGTGTTTGGTTGTGAAAGAAATAGTTTGGATACGTGAGATTTTCCTTCTTTGTTGTCTTGAGGGCGTCCATTACATCGCCATACTTCCAATGAATCAGTTCAAAGTCATTCTTCTCACTGACCACGTCCAGGTCTACTTTAAAAGCAAAAGTATGATCGTGAATAGGTCCTATAATGTCATTGGACACTCGGTAACCAAACGGATTCCGTCCTGGTTCCTCGGGGTTGTAGAAAGCGCTAAGGGTATTGTAGTAGGAAGCCTGGATAAATCCCGGGGCCGTAGCAGTGGTAACAATTTTGCCGTCAAGATGAAACTGGAAATCAATCAAGTAATCGTAGTTACCAAGCTGAGTCGGATACCGAGCCACCAGGTATCGGTTGCGCATGCCCACTTCGATATCATCGCCTTTGTGGCGATAGATTGGTTCTTGGGCGTCCATTTCAAATATACAAATAGTAACTCTCTCTGTTCCTCTCATTGCCACGGGGTTCCACATAACACTTCTCATATAGGATGCATGTGAGGGACAGTCGATATCAGAAATAGCTGCCTTTGATTCTCCCAGACCAAACGTAGAGTCTGTATAGAAAATGTTGTCTTGTCCTGAACCGTCGGCAGAATACAGTAACCCTATGTCATTCAATGCATTTTCATAGACAACTCTTTCCCCTCGAAACTTTACATTAAACACTGCCGGACCTCGGTGTTGGGTGGTGGTCACTGAAAACTGCCACCCCAGCCACGTTATAGTATGTCCTCTCATTTTGTATCGAGGTCCAGTTGGTTCTATCGTTTTTGCACCAGTTCGATCAGAATTCGGACGCACGGGGTAGGATAACTGGCGTTTGGGGAACGTGATTTCTTTTATCAGTTCCCTTGTGCCTTTAGGGTAACGGATTTTGTACAGGGATGTAGAGTTGTAGGCTTCGTAGAGATCTTCAACAGTATCAAACGGACCCTGGTTTAGATAGAAAATATTATAAACACGCCATTTTGACGGGTCTTGTCCACCGTGATATATTAATCCGTTCAGAGGAAGCACATTCAGAAAGTCGAAATCTTTGTCTCCAAGCCCCCTCAAACCTGCAGTCCACCGACTGGTGCGTTCTCCATTGTGAATGAAGGGACCATTTGGCATGACACTCATATCTCTGTACGGTGATCTGGAATCAAAGCACTCTTGCATCATGGGATTAATGCGATAAAGGGCGTCCATCACTGTAATAATTAACTCTCTTGTCTCAATAGAATCATACGGACGGTTGCTGAATGGCACCTCATTGGGTTTCAACAAAGGAGTTACTGTTATGTTTTCTACATCACCTTCAAGAGGTCCTACTTTGTATTTCATTAGTTGTGGTTCTTTTCTAGCCCCTTCCACGACCATTACCGTTACATATCGTCCCGGAAACGGTCCGTCTTTATCTAAGTATTCGAGTGCCTCTGCTTTATTTGGCGGGAAGAGGTACATGGATTGAACGTATGACTCATTATACGCCAGCTTTTGACGGGGTTTGACTGTTATTATCTGTTCTCGGTAAAGTGCTTCCCTAGCTTTAACCATCTCATTGGACTTAATGGGAGCGAACAGTTCCGGTTTGGTTTCTTCGTCTACCGGATAAGTCCATTTACATGGTTCACAAGTCATGGACTCCTCCTCCTTGTCCAATCCGGTGTCCGTTTGAGGCAGAGTGCTTTCAATATTTGGGGATTCATGAATGTTATTTGAAGGGTGATGTGAATGCCCATGTGCGTGACTGTGTCCATCATGTGCATGACTATGTCCATGAGAGTCCACTGGAGCGTGATCATGACTGTGCTCATGAGAATCTCGCGTTGAGGGAGTCGTTTTCCGAGAATCTCTTGGCACATGGCTGTGTCCGTGGTCATGTGGTTTGTGACTGTGGATATTATCTTTGGTTCCACTGTTTGTTGGCATTAGAGTGTTTGAGTCTCTGTTTCGGCTTGGATCAACGCGTTTACTCTGAGTAGGGTTTTGATTGGAGTGATGGATTTCGTTCTTTCCCACCCCATTAAAGCCGTAAATCCCGATGAGGAGCCCAACCACCAGCCCCACACAGAAAAGGGCCACGCCCGTCACCTGAGCACACACTGTGGACCTAACAGCTTTTGTTTTTCTTTTGGATTCAGTTTGTGGAGAAAATGAATAAAAATCACTGGGCATGTTGTTATGATTATTCGAACCGTTTTGTTCCATGCTCTGAAATTAATAGAGAATGCACATTAAAGTAAATTTTAGTTGTCTGTGATTAAATTATGAATCCATTCATTAAATTTTGTGTAATAATATTTGTAGGTAGACTTAAGAATTGAGGGTTTGAAGATGTAAACATTAATTGGAGTGGTCAACAAATATATCTGCATGTTTACATTGACGGAATGATGGCTATAGTTGTATAATTTGTTCACGACGACATGTTCGTGATTTATAGCGGCTACGTTAGAGTGCCGTCTGGACTAGCACAATAACAAAAATTACAACAGAAGGCATAGATTTGGGCTTTGGAAGAAATTGGGATATATCGGAGTTTTAAAGAATATTTTTGGCAATTTGTCGGTTGTAAACTTAAAGTATTTTAATTAAATTGAATTATGGGGCTTCCGCAAGGGGGAGGCCTGTACTGTTTACCGTCCTGATGATTTTCGTAAGGAATTCTAATTATAAAAAAAAAAAACGTAGATTATTTTTAAAAATACATTAACTTTTGAAAAAGGACTTTTATAAAATCCAAGAAGCGACGTTTGTAAAAAAAAAAAAATTGAGAAACATTATGTACACTAGTAGCTTTACCCTAAGTATTTTAATTTGATCTCTGCCCCCCCCCCCCTTTTTTTTCTTTTAATTTGTGTTGATTTTTTTAATGGTCAATGATTTTTTTTTTTTTTTGTCCAACATAGAAATTAATATAATATAAATTTCTTTAGAGATTCCTATCTAAGGAAGCTATTTGCCAATTGTTTTTTGACGTGAATACCTGTCTGTTGTATTAACAATGTAAACTTCTGTGTTATCCTTTCTGTCCCTGTCACTTTCATGTCATAATGCAGTTATCTGATACCTATCTGTCAGCTATAAGTCGGCGTTTATACGCCAGTAAAACACAAAGTTATCAATCATGCTCGTAATCACGTACAATTTATTTATTTCATATTAAAAAGTAATTAAAAATGCTCAGAATATTATACCGGTATATACCAGTTAATTTTATTTATAACTTCCGAGAAATATTTTATTTTACAATACAACATTTAATCTTACAAAGTGAAAAATGGCTTTTATTTTAATGAAAGCTATACAAAAGAATAAGACCCTAGTTCCAAGAAGTTTTGTTTTCAGAAAACACATGTTTTTTCTCACCTGTAAACGATTTATTTATTTCATATTAAAAAGTAATTTTTGGTGCCATATTCCTTTTAAGCTTCATGAAATAAGACAAAATCGCTTCACTCATTTCACTTGAACGCACGTGCATACATGAACATGGTGACCATACCTTCTTGTAGAAGTCCATTATATCTATCTATGATCCAAATCCCATCTTGTTTGGTTGATAACCAAGGAAGTTATAGCTATTTAAAGTTTGAGCCAATCAGATTGTAGCGCATGTGCATGCACGCGTTTTCATGAAAATTGCTAAATATCATGTTGTAGAATAATAACATCTATCTATGTTCTAGATCCCACCCCGTTTGGTTGAAAACCAAGGGAGTTATAGCTGTTTTAAGTTTCAGCCAATCAGATTGCAGCGCACGTGTATGCATGTGCACAATGACCATACCTTCTTGTAGAAGTCCATTATATATATCTATGTTCCAAATCCCATCCTGTTTGGTTGAAAATCAAAATAGCAATTTAAATTTTCATCAGGCTTTATGCATTTTTAGTATATATCATGATCCTAATGCATGGCTATGTACAAAATTTCAAAGGATTTCGTCAAAAAACAAGAAAGTTTTGTTTCAGCCAATCAGAGCAAAGCGCACGTGCATGCGCGTGAGATCTTGCTATTTTGACCATGTCATCTTGTTTATAGTACTAATATATCCTTACATTATGAGTTTCAAAGCATTTCATCAAAAAATAGAAAAGATAACTTAATATACATTATATTGGCCATTTAACGTGTTGCATTCGCTGACCTTTGTAAATCTACATAACATGAAAAAAACATTTTAAAAAGTTTTTTCCCAGGAAGAAGAAAAATAATAATAATAAGAAACAGAGTAAAAACAATATGTTCCCCAACTTCGTTTGGGGAACATAATTCCTTTATTCAAAAATTAGAACGTTTTAGTGACAACGTCCAAATAATGACACATTGCTAAAGACTTTTGAACAAACACTAATGGACAAAACACCGCACAGTCCTGATGTATGATTTCTTTAACTAAAAATCTCCGCTCCTGACCCATTGTTTGTAATTCATCTTCATTCGTTATTTTCAGGTTCTCTGGTTGTTCTACATCGACGATTGGTAACAAAGTTTTTAGGGACCATCCCAGGATTTAATCAATGTGTATCGCTGTTTGTCAAATTTGACGATTTATGCATAGATTAGCATTTCAATTACTGTATTTCCTTCATGATCTGATGTATAGTTTATATCACCAAAAGGTGTAAACCTTAAAGATTGCATCGTCATTATACATATCCAGGAAGAGGAAGCAAATCATCTCCACATATTTCATATTAAATCCTTTGTATTTTTCAAATTTTGACGAAGTATAGCAGACATTATTTACTGGCAGGTGAGAGGTCACAATAACTGTAATTATAGTCCCAGGTCCTTCTACCTGGTCATTAACGGCTGCAGATGACAACTACTAAATGCACAGTCATGCAGCTAACGGCTAAATGTGACGGCTTATTTATTGTTCCTTGATGCCAAGATGATGCCAGACTCGTAGGAAGCAATGTTAAGGAAAAGGGGGGGGGCTTAACATTTTCATTTCGGGATGAGGGCACTTCAAAAGGGAAAAAATGTAATGTTAACTAATAAAGAATATATTTTACAATATATCAAAATTTAAAAAAAAAAAAAAACATCTTTATTGTCCCAAAAAGAGTAACAAAGAAACATTTTTATTTCAATCGTATACTAAATCATGACTTATTTGACTTTTTCTGCAAAATAATCACGATGTTATGGGAAAATTAGTATTAAAAGTTTTCTACGGCTAATTATACCATTTTGGGTCCAGTATTTTTCTCTTAAGGAAAAAGAGAGGTCCATAGCGATTGTCAAATCTTAAAAGAGAGAGAGAGAGAAATAAGGATGAGAAAAAAAAGACATCTAACCCCGGGGGGGGGGGCGTAACCCTTTCCGATTTTCTTATAAATTGATGTTTTCTGGAGAGGGCTCGTCTCCCCCTCCCCGTACAAAAAAAGGGAGATGGCTACATTATTTCACCTATCCTATGGGATGCATGGATCAAAGTTCTTTTTAGTACTACATATGTTTATTTTATTATTATGTTTGAAAATTAAGAGACCAGGATGTCCCGAGGAGGGTTTGCAGTTCAGGCATGCGTATATATGGTTAAGAATCTTCCATTTAAGGATTGAGGGTTTCAGATGAAATAAATGATTTTAAAAAGAGTTTTCATATTTTAAATTAGCAAAAGCGGTCAACACTTACTTTTTTAAAGCTTTCATCAATATAGGAGATTTATCTGTCCAATATTTGAAATTGGGAAAAAAAAATAAATATAAGGAAAATCCCTTTTGATGTTATGTATGAAAATTGTAGTATTTTAGAACTATTTTAGTTAATTTGGAGGTGTATGCTGATAGACTGACCATACCTATTTTTTTAGGCTAAGAGATGAAATGCTGTAATTTTATTTTGAATAGAAATAGTCGTATTATGCTTGATCGTCAATGACAATTTTTATTCATCATAACCTTTTCTCCATCCAATTAAAAATATAATATTTTCTATTGTGTGTCTGTGACACTGTAACCACGATAAATTCTTTCTTTTTTGTCTCAGTACTAGTTAGCTAATGGCATATCCTTTAAAAAATGCCGACTGAATTATTATGATGAAAATTAATGATTGGATATCATAATTGAAATATTTTTAACTAAAATTAATGTTATAGAATTTATATGATATGTTGAATACTGGTTAAAAATATTTTTCCATGCTCTTGTTAAAGACGTTTTACATCGGGCTCGAACTCTCAATATTTTCGTTTTGATAAAATTCTGAAAATCAATATTCCGAAGAAAAAACATTTTTGATGTTTTTATTAAAATATTTATTTATTACAGGGCATAAACATGAAATATATTTTTAAAAAAACTTCTTTTATTTTTGTTTTAAAGGTAAGAGATCTTGTCGGCATGTATGGTAATTTTTAAGATTTAATGAGTCTTTTCTGCGAGCCTACTGTATCCTGGCAACGTGACTCGTAAATATTTGGAGGGAGGTTAGGAACCGTCAAATATAGTGAAAAGGTAACGGATCTCTTTTGAAATTCATGTCATATTTTTTGGATATTGTTATTTCTTGATAGTCAAATTTTAACATTCTACTCCTTATGCATGTTTATGCTTATTTAGAAACCGTGAAAATTGTTTAGTTTAAACAACAGTCATTAAAATTTCTCGTGTTTTGCATAAAAGACGATGACGACGATACTTCCCCAAAAGCCCCAGGGCACGTACACGTTCGCCAGTCAGCCTCGTGCAGTCCAACAGAGGAAAAAGTACAGAGATGCCAATCCCATTGAACAGTAAGTCAGAGAGATTTTGTATTTCTTATTAAAAAACACATACGTATACACAATCAATAAGTGTAAAATACTTCATGCTGTGGTTTGTTTAAAGAAAAGATATGCTATATTTATTCATTTTATTGTGCTTTGCAGAAACCAAGGCCCTCCACAGTATGGAAACATTATGTACGACAGGCGTATTGTGCGAGGAAATACATATGCCCAACACACTCTCCCTGCAGTAAGAAAAATTACCTCTCGATTAAATCCATTATTACGACTGGTGCATTTAGAAATTCAATTATTTATTTGACAAGATTAGAATATAAAAACTGTTTGTATTCTAAATTCCAGCATGCACAACCAGATCCTATTGAAATACAAAGACAACAGGAAAATCGTCGTCGTGCAATAGCAAGAAAAAGAGCAAAGGAGCAGCTCCGCCCTCGTTCCCCTGATCCCGTAGAGGGGCGTAAACACATTGATGTACAAACAGAGTTATATTTAGAAGAACTGAGTGATCGTGTTGAAGAGGCCGATGTTGAGGTGCAGACTGATGCCTTCTTAGATAGACCCCCCTCACCCATGTATGTTCCAGCCAAAACAGGCGTGGATATAACCACACAGATCTTAGAGGGAGATGTAAGAATCATACAATCTCTTTGTAAAAATCAGTACATAGTTGTATATGAGCTAGGACAATATCTGCCTAATTTCTATTTCCAAGTTTTTCAGTATTTTTTTTAAAATTCATACATTTTATTTTTGCAGCTTTTCGATTTCGATATTGAGGTGAAACCTATTTTAGAAGTGTTGGTTGGTAAGACAGTAGAACAGGCCTTACTGGAAGTGATGGAGGAGGAAGAGTTAGCCAATCTCCGATCACAACAGCGTGCCTTTGAGGAGCTGAGAAACGCCGAGCTTGTCGAACAACAGCGACTGGAGGAGCAGGAGAGGAGGCATCGGGAGGAGAAGGTACGACCAAGTGTTTATACGTCACAAAAATACACTTCTGTAGGCTGTATTTGTATATTATATGTTTATGCATCACACAAAGTACTATGCCTCTAAAGGCTTTATTTATAAATTATATAAAATGTTTATACATCACACAAAGTACCACTCTATAGGTTGTATTTGTAAAGTTTATACGTCGCACAAAATCAGCTTGTGTAGGCTGTATTTGTTAGGTCATGTTTTATCTTACCTCTATAAAATAATATGTACATGTATTTATATTGAAGTTAATTTGTTTAATTATTTTTTTTTTAAATATATACATCTTTTGCATTTTATTACTGTAATGACTTAAGATTCTATATGAGTTACCTCCCTTTCACTCTGTTTTTCTCTATCTAATAATAGGAGAGGAGAATGAAACAACAACGAGAAATTGTGAAAAAAGAGAAAGAGACGTCAGACAAAATCGCTGCCAGAGCCTTTGCTCAGAGTTACCTCGCAGATCTCGTTCCTACAGTGTTTGGCACATTATCAGACAATGGATACTTCTACGATCCAGTGGAAAGAGGTAAAAAAAAAGTTTTTTCTCAAATCCATATAAATATTTAGATTTTTCTAACAAGACTGAGGTGACAATTAAGGAGAATAGATTGAGCAATTTTGACTAATGTTTAATGAAAATTAAGAATCTTCACCCTTTGATTTTTGTATTTCAGATATTGAGCAGGGTTTCATGCCTTGGTTGATCGACCAGGTACAAGTACAGTTACAGAAATCTCAGTTAGGTCGCCTGGTGCTGGATGGACTAATCAGGGATGTCATGAACCAGAGGATAGATGCCTACAACAAGGACACAAAGCCCGGGGGTGGGGCCACTAGTGACGGTAAATCTGACGGCTCCAATAACGCGGTACCCTCACAGGCACCGGCCGCTGCCACCACGTCAGAGGTAAAAACAACCACTTATATAGATATATATAAACAAAAACAACCACTTATATAGATATATATAAACAAAAACAACCACTTATATAGATATATATAAACAAAAACAACCACTTATATAGATATATATAAACAAAAACAACCACTTATATAGATATATATAAATAGAGGATATTCAATGTTTTGTAGTTGAATATGAAATTGATTTCACGAGTGGGACAGGATTTTTTGATATTTTCACGAGTGCGAAGCACGAGTGAAAATATCAAAAAATCCTGTCTCACAAGTGAAATAAATTCCATATTCAACTACAAAACATTAAATTTTCTGTTCATTACATTTTCTTTGATTTTCCCCTTTGCCTACGTCTTTTTGTACATAATGCAGTCTTAGGCTACATGACGTCATAGTTGAGCGGTTGAGACGTCATAGCTAAGTGAAAAATATTGTAAACATGAATTTCAGCAACATATTTGGGGGACTTCTGCAGTTTTATTTAATGACAGAATGGTTTTCTAACTCGTTTTCTATCTTATAACAGGCTAAGGAGTATTTTTTCAAACTTTTGGTGAGGGGAAGGAAAATCAAGAGTTTTCCCGCACTTCTGATATTCTTTCACACTGTGACAGGATATCATTTTGATATCCTTTCACACTGTGACAGGATATCACTTTTATTCAATGGATAAATTACAGTATTTCACTGTTGAAAATGTAATAAACAAAAACAACCACTTATATATAGATATATATAAACAAAAACAACCACTTCTATATAGATATATATATATATAGAATGTGTGTCAACATTAAGCTGGAATTTGTTGATTCAGTATTCAGTCTGAGGTACATCACTACCCTCTCAAGATAAATGCATTTGCTCTACTAAATGTGGGTAGATTTGACTTCTCTGGACTTTTCTGCAGTTTGCTACCTGTATATGAGGTGAAATGCCCTTAAGATGAAAGGATGTAGGGATTTCATAGTCATATTTCCATTTTTTTTTAACCCAATGATTGCAATGTCTATAATCATCGGAATAATTTATTGTGGCAATAACACTATAGAATTAAATTACAAGCATACATGGTATTATAAATTACGGGTACACTTATAATATTTAGAAATGCTAAATAATTATAACCCCTATTAAAAATTACATGTTAAAAAAATGGTTTGATGATGGTGCTATATATTTCTACTTTATGGACAATTTTACAATTAGTTGTTAAATTATGAAAATGAATATCTGCATTACTCGTAAAATTAAAATTAATAAGAATCACTCTAACGAGAGAGAACAGGTGACAGAATTCATATATAAAGCAAAAAGATTCAGCCTCCTTTGGTGACAGTAAATAATAACCAAGTGATTGATTAGAAACAATGAGAAATAAATTGTCCCCTTCTGAAGTCAGTACTGCTGGGTGAAGTATGGGAGATGGTTTCAGGGAACTAAATGACTTAGCGGGGTATAAAGACACAGATCAGGTGATGCATCATGCGCTCTGTCCAGGGTGACGAATCCACTGGCTAACCAGATGTAGCCTTCCCACGATTCCTCACTCACCCAGTGTATCTTGCGAGGAGCTGCACGCGCCAAGCTTCCCTCTCTTTCTAAATAAGCCTTCTGAAGCAGGTGACATTTTTCTGCATGGTTGAGTTGAGAGATGATTTCAGCAGTGCTTTAATGACTGTGTTTTACAAGGGGAGGTCTGATATGTTCTGTGCCTGTTTTCGGGTCATTGGTGTTGTTCATTCTACCAGTGACAATGATGAGACATTGATACTCTTAGAGGGGGATTTACTTCTCTGCTGGGTGATAGCAGAACCTGTGTCAATAAAAGTCAAGGAGGCGTGTCCAAAGAGAAATTCATTATGATACAAATGACTTGACATATTGTGTCGGGGCTGATTCAGCGCTCGGGTGACAAATCTGTGATTATTAACTGACGGGACCACACCCAGCCTCGCACCTCTCAAAGGAGAGCAGCACTATTGATACAAATAATACAAACATGGAATAAATGATCAACCATTCAATACTTAGCATACATCTCCATTGTGTGTAGTCCGTGTGCGATTCTCAATCCTGATGTCTCCAACAATTAGAATTAATATCATTTTATTTTTAATTTGAAATTGGATCATAATTTATGGTCATTATTTGTGATCTATTATTTAATATATTGCACAATATTACTTCTGCTGGAAACCGTGGAGAGGAAATGAGGTGTGTAATTAAGAATGCCACACTCCACGACAAATGAAATATTTAAATTATTCGTAGGTCATCATTCTCATTCTCGTAATTTAACTCCAACATGACAAAAAGCGGAAACTACAGTAAATCGCAAGCAAGGTCAAAAGAAGACCTGACAGTGTAAAGATTGAGTTCAACTTTCATATAAACAAATTAATTACTTTTATTATGAACTCATAAACAGTGACTGTAATAACAATTTCATTAATGAGGAGTGTGTGAATTGTCTTCCTTTTCCTTTCAACATCAACATTTTATGTTTGGGATGTAGAAAATATCAAAAGACTTGCAAGAGACTTGATTTTTCTAAACTTGGAGACTTATAGCTTGCTGATAAGATCAAAGCTTTCTTACAAAATACCAAACTCCCTGACAAAGTTCTAAGCTCTGTAACAAGTTTTTCAGCCTCATACCAAACTTTACACCTTGATTAAGATTTCAACAAATGACAAATTCTAAATTCCTTGACTGAGTTTTGTGAAAAAAGTTGAGTGAATTGCTTAAGATTCTTAACATGCAGGTAACTCAGTTTAATGGTGGCACAGAATAACAACTTTTATATACATATATTTTTTATTTATGAACTTTATTTAATCAAGGTTGTTACATACATACAAAGTCAAGCTTTGTAACTTTAAATTTTGATTTTGAGTATAGCCTTTGATTAATTATTTTTTGTTAATTGCAGGGTGAAAAGAAAGAGGAAACTCAGGAACCGGAGAAGAAAGAGGAGCCATCAGGAAACACGGAGGGTGGGGAGGAGACGGGGGGTGGGGATGAGTAGAACTCTTCAGGGGGAGCAGTCATTATCTCGAAAAACAGGACCACCAAAATAATAGCTGGGAGGGAGCCACTACACAAACTTTATCAAAATTACTCACAGTGTGCTAAAGGAGAGAAGTGATATTACACATTGTCGGCAGAATGTTACTAAAAAAATTGAAACAGACTCAAAATACTGTATTGTTTATCTTTGAAATAATGGTTGCTCCATTTATTTAAAATATCTGGATCTTATGCCCTCTAGTTCATATTGTCTGTGATCAAAATGTATATATTTAAGTATACTAGTTATTAATTTGGCTAAATAGAACTGCTCAACAGGAACAACAATGTGGAAAGTAATTTTAAATAATCATTTGGATTTTTTGTTCTGGGATGAAAATTAATTTGAAGGATATTTTTATTATTTTTCACACAGTTTGTGTCCTGCTGTGTGTCCTCTATTTATGATTTTGTTTTATTAAACATGTTTTCCTGAGTAAACAAATTTAATATATATGAGATATTTAGCTAAGTTTTGCCATTAATGAGAAAAAGGTTTTTTATGAATCTATTAATAGAAGAATATTTACAATTCTTTCTGTTGTTTCAAAATTAAAGAATTAAAATATTTAGCATTGTTTCTTGTGATTTAATTAGTGTAGATTTTTCTGTCACTTTATTTGACAAATCAAAATTGAAATCTTTCAAATATATACCATATTCAAACTTAGGCTGGGATGTAGCCGCATATGCATTAAAAATCAGGTGCGTAGAGAGCGGGGGGGGGAGGGGGGTAACTGAATTTTTTTAGAACAGAGAAAGAAATGTTATCTTGAGAGAATACAACTTTAGTACTTATACATATATAGATTTTGACTAATTCAGATGCTCTAAGAAATATTTTGATTTTATGTAGCCTCGCATATCGCCGCAAGAATGGCGTTCATTTTAATATTACACCAAGAAAAAAAAACGTTTTTTAGCAAAATGGCTATAAAACTTATTCAAAGAAACACTTGAAAGCTAAAAAAGATATTTGGGTGAATAGTTCCGAAAATTAACTTCAAAACGACGTCGGCAACATTATTTTTGCCAAGCGGTGCACAGGCACTTGTTTCGCAAATAATTTCTAAACCCATAGTATACTGTGGGTTTAAAAATTATTTGCAAAACAAGTGCCTGTGATGCGGTGGTAGACATTCAAAACCTTGTGTTGTATTTTTAGTAACTTAAAAAAGTATTCTATATAATCATATGAAAATTTTCGGTTTTATTTTTTTCTAGTGTTCACATAAATGTATAGTGATACTACAATTCCAAAAAAATTAAAGTTTTCAAAAGTAAAGCGTGTTACTGTTAATTGTTCCCCTTTATATCTTTTCCAGTATTCGATCGCATACAGTGATACTAAAATTCTTTAAACAATTTTAAACGATTATATAAACAATCGGAAAATAAAAATAGAACACCTTTTTTGAGACTGGATGGTGTAATTTTCTTTAATCTTGTAATGCTAGACATTAAAACACGGGCTAAGTTAGTAAGTTTTTCTTTGATGTGTACCAGCCGTTATCCGTTAGTCAGTAAAACCAATTGTTCGTGCTGACCACACAAAGTTTTGTCTGTTCGTTGGTGGACGCCGGGTGCCTCTCCGTCACCACTCGTCACCTAATCCTATTTACCCGCAAGGAGAATCAATGTCTCCACCATTGTTCACGTTAACTTCAAACCGATACATCCTCCGTGTGTAAACGAACCTGTAAATAAAAAATGTCAGGCATGTATCAAGCTGACCACTGAATTACCCAACTACTGTGTTTGTTTGGTCAATAAGATTAATTAATTTTGGATTGTCCGTCGTTTGTAGATGTCATGTATTATTGTAAGATCAGAAAGGCAAATATAAGATTGGATTTCTTGTACCCATAGTGTACAGATTGTGATCAGGGAAAATCAACAGAGAATCAAGATTTAATCGATCGATGTTCAGTTTAAACTGAAACACATCAGTACATTTATATGTATACTTGTGTGTGTTTTTTTGGGGGAGGGTGGGGTTGGGGGCTGGGGGGTTCAGTTATTTGAATTTTAATTAAAGAAAAATAGTTGTATTGTACTTCCACTTTTAAAAATGAAATTTGTTGTTAAAAATATCCACAAAATAAGAAACAAGCCCCCAAAAAACCACCCCAAAAGAAATGTAATAAAAGCTATGGGATGATAAAGATAACACTTTTTGTTATGATATTTCTTAAATTGATCGAAAAATAAATTAAAAACCTGAAAATTTCAAATGTTCTTACAGTAATACGTGTTTGTACTTATATTCCAATTAGATGACTTTGGGGAAAAAAATTAATAATATCAAAGTGGACTTTTCATGCACTGAATATGACTTGAATTATCCTACAGTACATATCGTTGCATGTGAAGAAAATCTTCATGACATAAGTTGTTTCACAAGTAGATCCATGTATTCGTAACAAAATGCATATACCTCTGTCATTTTTTAGAAAAAAAATGGAAAAACATGTGGGAAAATGCCTTCCTTAAACACATGTTTAATTCCTCTGCAGTGATTAATTGAACATGCAAAACATTAAATGCTAAACAGGTCTTTATTGTTATTGAAATCAAATTGAAAATGAAAAGATAACATCAAAAGATATACTGAACCCGACCAAAAGAGAAACCGTCGAGCGTTCGGCAGACGGTATCGGCACGCGGCGGGCGCGCGACTTCGCGTGTGTCCACAAAAGACTACGGCTTCCAGACAAGAAGCTGGGTTTTGGACAACGTCACGTAATGGTACAACATGTAAAACGAAAGCGAACAGGGCTGAAATGAGAGAAGGATAGTACCCCCGGTCGTCAAGTAAAACGGAGGGACCGGGCGCGCATCAGCAGGTCTGTTCCCACCGACGCACGAGTCCAGAAGGAGGGACCCTTCTTAACATGCTTTTCCGTTGTTGATCTGATAACCTCGTGTATAGGAAAATATTTCTGCTTAATTGTTGGAAATATTCCGACTGTTACTTAAATACGTCGTTTCGCTAGATTCAAGACCCAAATTCATTTTTAAAAAATTTTAAATGTAGACTCTGTAAAAATTGAAAAGGGTTGTTCGTTATCCCTCGTGTTAAGTTTATTTATTTCTGTCTCCCTCGACAAAGTCATCAAAGTTACTTTTTTTTCCAAGATTTTAAATCAATAAAATTTAAATTAAATGTCCATAATTTAAATATGTCAAAACCATATTGCCTGTTAATGTGGATAATAGGGATTTATTAAATCTGTGTGTGATGTTAATCCCGTGCCACGGTAGTGGAGTACCTGGCAGAAAGGGCGCCGAATTATCGTCGCTCGTAATCAGAATCATCGTTAAAGTAATCGTTCAATTTAATGCCCCTCAAAACGTTTGACCAAAACTATTCAGAATAACTCCCTTCATACAAATTGATCAATTTTATGTCAATGAATTTTAATATCAATTAGGTTTATTGTAATAAATGACTCGGGGCGCATGCGCTGCCGCTGCTTTGGCTTTCCGCGCTCCTCGTTGAAGGAGAAAGTTTGATATTGTCATAGAAACCAAATAATTGTCATAGGAACTCGCCTGCCTCAGAAGCAGCTGTTACTTAGTGCGTTTTTTCTCAGGACTGTCCCCTCGATGTCAATTTCTATAAAAGCCCCCAATGCTAGCTCTCCTTTTTCATTTAGCAAATTAGTAAAGTTACGAATAAAACACATCGCTAGTCAGTCAATGGATCAATTAACAAATAGTTCTCATCACACCATGTCCTCTTACCACGCGCCCGTGAATCCGCCCAGGGCGAGGGTGGTGGCGGGGTCAGTTATACCCCCGCTTTGTGTGGCTGGCCCCTATCCAGGGGAATTTCTGTTTGGGAGGGAAACAGAAGAATTGAATGCTGAAGCCCTAATAAAGGTTTGTAGTATTTCTAAATGATACGTTAAATATTTAATTGTGTTTTATACACCAAATGATAAAAAAAAATGATGAAAAAAAAGCAGAAGTTGTTTAATCAGAATCAAAGGTTTTAAATTTTGAATACACATATATTTCATTTACCCAGATAAAATTAATGGTAGGAAATACCTCATAATTTAAAATTATGGAAATGTAGATCAAATAAAAAAGACTACTATTTTGGCAAGTTCCATCCTGATAAATATCTACACGCATTTCCCTGACAATTGTCAGGAATATAATTTTAAAGATGAAAATTTTAATGAGACGCTTCGATTCAGATTCAGAAATATAAACTTAAAAGATTGTTTCATTTCTTTAATTTTCAAATGGATAGCAAAATGGAAGAAAATATTTATTTTATGTGTTTATCGGCTAACTATACCCCGGTAGCTTTCTGCATATCTTTTTGTAGTGAAAGTCATTTAATTAAGATTTTAATAAACTTTATTTTCGTTAAATTCTCCTTAAATTGCAATTGAAAAAGATAATATCTAGTCTTGGTATATTTACATGTAACTACATTTATTTTAATAATGGTTACAAGTTCAAAATATCTTCAGAATACGATTAAAAATAATTATAATCTTTATTCATCTTCATGCTTCATATAGTTGATTGCTTTACAAGAAGTAAAATATTTCCGCCCCGTAGCTTTTTTTTCTTCAAAATGTACGTTTTGTATAGGTGGAGGAGGGGGGTGGGGTGGTCAAGTGAAATTGACTATATGAACAGATACTTGATTTTTCCCATATTCTAATTTCATAGAAAACAAACAGTGAGAGGGGCCAAGCAGCATCTAAATAGAAAATATACATATGAAATGTACGACACAAAGCTTCTAAAAAAAGAAATGGACCGCCCTTCCCACCCACCGCTCCTCCATCACACCCTTCCCCCGCCTTTAACTATTTGCATTACTTGAACTTCAAGCCAAATTTTAGATAGTCCACCATTTTTGCAAAATAAATTTTAATATTTCTAAAAGCTTTTAGAACGTGTGCTCAATCTCTGTGTAGTTAGAAATAGCAATAAAAATATGTTCAAACAATTTTTTTCTATATTGCCTCTTTTCAAAATCCGAACATTTCACACCCATATAAATAATACATTTATTTATTTATTTTTAATACCACAAAAATTGTATTTAGATTTAAAGGATTAATCTATATATGTTATTTTTACACTGTCATTATTGTACACCGATTCATCATTATTATTCTAAAAGAATAACTATATGGAAAAAAATATTAACAGTTTCCTGGGTGCGTTGGGGACGTCCTTCCCACAAATACATGTATATGGCACGCCAAATTCACAAAAATGAGCTAAACCTAGTTTCACAATTGATACACTAGGTTTATCGACTGTAAACTATAGTTTACAAACCGTGAACTATAGTCAACAATTCGTTAACCATAGTTTTCATCTGTAAAACTATATTTAATGGTTGTTAACTATAGTTTACGAATGCTAATCTAAGTTTATCTGTCTGTAATAAAACGTTAACAATAGTCTATTTTGTTGATAAACATAGATTCACGTCTGTAAACTATAATTTACGATCGTTAACTATAGTTAAGAGTTG